TCACAATCTCTGTATATGCTATACACGGTACACTGTGTGTGTGTGATTGTGCTGCCTTGTAATTTGTACAAGCTGCTGTTGTCGTCGTTGTCATTAAAAAGCCATTTCGCCCATATATCATCGCAGGCGGGCAGGCAGTCCGCCCCCAATCCGATCCGATCCCTTTTGCCTCGCTCTCCACATTCACATCCACACCCACTTCGTCCTTGGTCCTGCCAGGCATATAAATTACTTTATGATATTGTTTTGAACCTGCGCGACAAATAATATTGTCAGCGATTGGGGGAGGTTGGATTTACAGGCAGTTGGGGGCGGGGTGAGAGGTCATGTCGCCGGCTGGCAGCGTCAAAAATTGAAAGTTTCTGTGCCGGATTGGCAGGGCAATTGGGATTGAGATTTAGTCGAGCGAGCGAAGCGCTTTAACCGCACTTATGGCCCATTTGAATATCCTGTGATCCTGTCTGCCTGCCACTTGGACTTCGGGTGTCCGTGTCCTGGCAATAAAAACGTCACTGCCAACCGGCGCACACACACACACTCACACACCCTCCGACATTTTTTCGGGAGCTCTGTCTCACTTATACGCACTTATCAGGACCCCAAACTCGGCAAAAGGAAGCAAGGACATCAGTGTCAATTCAATTTTATTTTCATTGTGTCATAACAATAACATAAAATTAAAATAACATAAAAGGGAAATTGAGGATGCACATACATACGGTGAGGGGAGAGGGGTGGAATATCCTGGCGCAAAGGAGCTGAGGAGGATTCAACGCGGCGTGAAATCGTCAGGCAGTTATCCTTGGCTACATTTCATCAGCGGCAAACATTTAAAAAATATAAAGAAACAAGCGCACAAAGGATGCGCAAGAAGAAGAAGGAGCGAGAGGCGGACAAAAGTTGTGCATAAAACAGGAAACGGAAACACATCAGCGTGGCGGAAGTCAAAAAGTCGTCACATTCACATAACAATGATGGCAGCCATCGCATCCTTCTGCTCCTTCTGATTTCATTGTTTTGCCTTTTTTTAGCGCACATGTGGGTGGGTGGGTTGGTTTTGGGTGCTTTGGGTGGTTGCCATGACGTAACAACATTTATGGCGTAAAGTAAGTAACGTAATAATGTCGCCAACAGTTACCAAAATAAAGCAGAAAAGGCTAAAAAGGGGGGAAAACAGCAGCGGGCTGGCCAACAATGGCTGCCCCCATTTTTTCTGTTATCCTTCGGCCAGGATAACTCGCCTTCTGTCTGCCGCTCCTCCTGCCGCTGCTTCTGCTGTTGTTGTCATCGTTGTCAGTGTCTTTTTGTCGTTGTCAGGAATTCATTTGGAAAATTAATAAAAATATATACACAGCAGCAGGGTCCTGCGGGCAATTTAAGGGGCGCGGATTAAAGGGCTCCCAATTAACCTTAACAGACTGAAAACTCTAGAGAAATGTGAAAGTATAGTCATCCTTTGTTGGTTATTATATATATTCTACCCTCCATTTATACCCAACAGTTTTTATTCTTAAAAATATAAATAAAATGTGTTATGCCACGTTGATATCATAATAATACTAATTAATTATCAAACTTAATAAATCTTTAATTCTGTATTTTTGTTTCCAGTCAAGGTATATACTAAAGATCAATAAACTTATAAGTTAAACTTTAAGATAAAGAGTAAAAGCATATACTTACTTGTAGAATTAATCTTTAACTTTTAAGTGTCATATAATATGATATGCTAATAAGTAACTTTCACTTACAACTGATAAAGTACTTTCCCTGGACCTGTATAAACTGTCTGGATTCACTTTATTTATTTTCGTTAAGTGCCTGTTCATTAAAAGTTCGATCCCCTGCCCTAGACATCATTAATGCCAAACAATCTGATAGACATTATGCACCCCGCACCCTGAAAACCAAACAATTCAAATTTTTGGCGGCATTATCTGCGCCTCGAGGAAATCCACCCAATTGGGGCGCAATTTTTCAATTTCCCATGAAACGCATATTTGGAATACAATTCGATTAGAAATGCTTTGCTTTTCGAAATAATAAATTAAATTTCTACCACCGCACACCCCACCACGCAAATTTCCAATGCCATTAACACCATCTAGCCCCTGTTTTTATTTATACTTATATATATATTCCTCTTTTTTTTTGTGGGCCTCGCGGGGTGCAAAAGGTTGCGAAATTGCGACTTGTTGGGGAATTCCTGCGGCAGCGGTGTGGAAAAAAAAGAAGGAAGAAAACGCGGGGGAATCAATTTCCTGCAAAACAGAATCCTTAGAGCCTGCGAGGGCTTTTCTTAAAATAACAAAATTACTTTCCGCATGCAGGCCAAGTCAAGCCCAACCGATCCGATCCAAAACGAGCGGAATGCCATTGACAACCATTAATCATGGACGCCTGTCAGGGCGGGTCGCCAACTCGGGGGGTGGCAGGAAGTGGGTGGAGATTGGGATGAGGGTGTAGTTGGGGGTGGGGATGGGGGTGTGATTGTCCTGCACTGCAATGTTGATACTGTTTTTTTTTTCATTTTGCCTCCTTTAAACTCTGCCTTCTGTGGAACATGCTAATGCCTGCCACTGGGGCTCAAGTCATGCTCTCGGCTTCCAGCCACGCCCAGCTGCGAAATTGACAAGCCAGCCGAGTGCGTTGTGTGACATGACACTTGCCAAGGACCAGGGACCAAGGACCAGGGAGCAGGACCAGGACCCGGAATAGAAACTGGAATAGGAACGGGTCCGAGCACGGAGCACCAAGGACCTGGCGTGGGCGCGTGCCCATGGCCAAGTCGGAGGCGTTCAGGGGAAGTCAGGTTATGTATGCCATCATTAGACGTGGTCCGTTTGCCACGCCCGTGCTGTTGCAAATTGGCAGCTCGGCAATGGACGGCCATCATGTCATGTGCCAAGATGTGGCACAAGGGGCCAAGGGGTAATCGGAATATGAGCACCGTGACAAAAGTACAAGATACTTAAAGTTTGGTAAAATATTAGAACGGGCAGTTACCAAAAGAAACCATTATATTTCGATTATTAAAAAAGGATATTCTTACAAAAGAACAATTGTACAAATATAAGACAACGTTCCAATGACAATGATAGGAAAGTTAACATCAAATTTGAACTCATTAAAATAATTGTATATTTGAAAACATTGTTATAATGGCTTACTACAGACTAAGGATCGTTTTCTTTACAGCATGTTAAACTGAAAATAGCTTGTATACCTAGAAATGGTATGGAAATTTATATTTATAAGTCATTATAGGCCTTTTGAAAATAAAATAGTTAAGTCTAGTCATTATGAATTATAATTTTGTATCTCAAATATTTCATTGAAATTTTCTCTATGTGCACTTTGCCCGAACCCCATGTTGATGGCAAGTCAAAGTTCAATGCGAAAAGCCGAAATTCCAATTGCCAAGATGCAGGACGGAGCACGGAGGATGCAGGAGGCGGCGTAGGCTGGGACATTGTCTAATTGCTCACTTTATGGGCATTGAAAAGGGTTTAGAAGGGCTTTTGGAAGGGGTGGTGCCATGTCATAAAGTGCAAATGCCCCGCCCCGAGAATCCAACAACGAAAATTGCGAAATGCGCGCTGAAACTGTGATTTGTGTGTGCAGTCGATACTTGACATGCATTTTCAATTTAAAGGCCAGCACCTCGGCCACGCCCCCTCCTACCTGGGGCAGGACACATCTCCTGGCCAATAATGAATTCCATTCGTTTTGTCTGTAGTCCTTCCTTTTACCCCCACTGCATCCCTCCTGCTATTCATTTATGCAATTGCAAATGCATTTCGTCCCGGGCACAAGTTTGCAAGTCCTTGGCCAGGAAACGTGACAGAACAGCGGGCAGGGAATCCAATACTCCTTCTACTTCCACATCCCCTTCCACTTCCCCTTCCACATCCCCTTCCACTTCCCATTCCACTTCCCCTTCCCGGCAACGATAAAACTTTATGCACTGCAAAACGGGAGCAAAGGAGCAAGGAGCAAGGAGCTGCGGACCCAGCATTGACATTTCAAGTGGACCCCATCCTCGGAAGCGCCATCAGAATAGTTTTAATAATGCACAAGACGACGGCCAACGAGTGAGTCCGGTCGGCAGCATAAAATCCAGGACATACGAGCAGGACTTTCCAGCTAGAAAATAGAAGAGGGGGTAGATAAGACCCGGCACAAGTAACGGAAAGAAATAAAAGAACTAGAGGAACAAACATGAAAATTCAATGCAACTTTGTCTATTCGATGTCAAAATGAATACTTTTGCATTATTTATGTCGGCGCATTTGTTTGTCCAACTACAACCGATAACGAAGGACGAGGAATGGTCTGGATCTGATGGTATGGCGATGGAAAGGATGGGCAAGGCAGCCGCTGAGTGAGAATACAAATTGCTATTCGCATTGAAGGCTTAAAGTCCAATACACAAGGAGTGGGTAAAAGGATAGGTAAGAAAAAATATTTTTTTATTCTGATTCTTAAACTTCAAGTCGCTAGAAAGCCACAAAGAACACTCTTTCTGACACATAGATGGCGCCACATGTGATCTTCTACAAAATCATAGCAAACTTACGGGGCTTCCCTAAGATATGTGTGAGGATCTTCGTTCAAATGCAAAACTCTCCATCTCTTTGAAATTTTTCTTTCAAAATATCCGCAAATCATAGTTATTCTTCCGATATCATCTCATCAGAAATACCTTTAATAGTGTATTTTTCGAGTTTCCACCCCTCCATATAAATTACTCTAGGTTTTTATTTACCCACCCAGTCAAGTGTCCCCTTCAGATGGCCGGTAAATGCCAAAGTTATTTTGGGACAGCCATAAAGATATGTTGGCTCAAGTGGATGTTGCTGTTCTGAGCTCAAGAGGACACTCCAGCGACCAGGACATGTGTATGCAACCAGAACCACTCGAAAGTCTTTAGCCAAACGACAAGGAGAAAGTCACTCAAAAAAAAAGGTTAAAAAGGTTTACATCTTTAATATTAGTTTTAAGTATGATTGGAAAAATTCATTCATAATAGTAACTTGTAAATAAATGTAGATTATAATATAATAATAATATATTAATTCCAAGGATCACAGACATTAGTCACTGCGTTCTACAAACTTAAACTTGAAGGGAATATTTGGTTGTACAAAAACCTGGCTTTGAAGGCATTTTCTATGGGATATTCGAAACCAATCTGAAAGTTTCTTACCAACCGGGCAATGGCTATTTCCAGCATCATATCCACGATCCTCTTGCCAGCACAAGCTCTTGGTCCAAACCCAAAAGGCAGATACATGAAGGGCGTGGCTGTATCGCCAACCAAATGGGAGTTCGAGTTGGTTTCATCGCGCAGCCATCGCTCTGGGATAAATTCCCGTACTTGGGGCACAAACTCCTCCATGTTGGCCATCTGGTAATTGGCCGCCATGCCCACATCCGTTCCGGCCACTACTCTATAGCCACTGAGCACCACATCGTGGGGCATTCGACGAAGGGTTCCCGGACCTATGGGATACATACGAATGCCCTCCTTGATGCAGGCCCTCAGATAGGGCATACTGTTCATATTTTCCATGGTCAGTGGTGAGTCCTTTTTGGGTAGTATTCCTCTGATCTCCTCTAGAAGTCGAGCCTGTTTGTCAGGGTTCTTGGAAAGGCATAGCAGAATTCCAGCCAGGGATACTAGGGTCTGGAAGGGGATATCATTATATAATTACATTGTTAGCTTATTAAAATAATGTATACTCACTGGATCAGCTCCGGCAAATAGCAAATCCATGGCTATAATCACAGCTGTTTGCCGATCAAAACGGGCCAATTTCTCTAGGAGACTAGTCTCCAAGCCAATCTCTGTGAGTTTTCCTGCCTTAGCATCCTCTTCGATCCTTTTTAAAGCGTTCTCTATGTGAAAATAACAAAAGTCCGTAATGGTATCCAGGGAACGCATTAGTTTCTTGAAGTTAGGCATGGGCAAATATTCCAAAAGGGCGGCATCATGTCCAGCTGGAAGCCCAACTCCACCACATCCTGCAGAGCTAACACTACTTTCTGGATATCCTTATTTTCCCGCTGGTCTCCCAATAATCCAAGATGTGTGTTCAAGGCGACAGAGCAAATTGATTCAATCACCAAATGCCGAATGTCCACAGTGAAATCATCTGGCATCTCTTGGGTCACAGGATCACGAATATTACGAATGCTAAGATGAAATCAAGGGTAAGGGTTATATGCAGTGGAAATACTTAGTTCACTTACCGTTCCAGAAACTCATCACTGACTTGCAACAAATTCTTCATATAAAGCTTGGCGTTCCGAGGTTGCAGGAGAATTGGATTCACAGCAGTTCGCATTTTTCCCCAAGCCGGTCCGTTTCTGAAAGGAAAAATTATGTTCCACTTCATCTAAAATCTTATATGTTTCTTTTTTTACTTACCCCGAGGTCAGACCATCATAGCCATCGAATACCTCCCGCCTGTGTACCCTCTTGAAATAGTCCATAACCTCGAAGCTTCTCCTATGTGGATACTGACCCTCGTTTCGGAAGACGGTTTCATAGTCCTTGGATTCATGGTCAGTACCAAATCGGTTCCTGCAATGCTGGGCATTCGAAAGATACTCCCATATTGACGCTTCAAGTCAAGAAACATTTCGTGAACCGGCAAATCCTTATAGCGACCTGATTGAGAGAGGGTTTTAGTAAAGAGATCGTTTTCCAAATAGCTTGTTAAGAGAGAAAACTGGAAAGCTTTTCCTGCACTTACCGGCCCGGCAGAAAAGCTCGTATCAATTGCAATTTGCTGGGTCCCGGAATATCTGCATAGGGTTTCGCCTCCTCCAAACTCACCGTAGAGCTCTATTCATATAATAAATAATGTTTCCTTTAATATTAACTAAATTGTATACTAATTGGAGCTCACCTTGTTGGACACTCCTCTATATAACTGGTAGATCTGCCTAGAGATCTGTTTATTTGCGTTCCACTTCTTTGACAACATATTGCATACTAAAGTCTTTCGATTAGAAAACTTTCTTGATTAATTCACTTTAAGTAAGCTTTGCAAAGCTTTTAGTTCGCTCTTCTGCTCAGCGGGTGAATATTTTTATTAATTTTGTTTATGTTTTTTCTGATTTTTGTTTTGGTCTTAGTTGTTCTGTGCTCTTTGGTAGCTTATTTCGTCGGAAAGATAACAAAACTTAAAAGACAGCTTTTTCTGATGTCATAATTTGAATATTTTATTCTTGCCTATTTTCCTCACTTATAGGTGTACACATTTAGGCGGTAATAATATATTGACTGTCATAGTAATAGTCTTTTTGAAATATCTAATAAATCAATTTAATTAGGACCTACGCCTCTCTTTGCATTACGTATACGCTCTGCTGTCCTTTAAGGGACTTTAAAACCTTTCCCTAACTTAAACGGAATCAGTCAGAAATTTAAGCCTGTCACTAACACTCACTCACACACACATACGTACAGAGGGAGCAACACCCAGACAAAGGCAATATCAGCAGTGACAGAAAATCTATATAGACGGCCCAGACTGACGGCTGTAATAAAATCGATTTTTTATGTTTTTGGCAAGTGACAAGGACGCGTCGCAGCGAGGGGACGCGTCTCGACCAGCGGCCCCATAAATATATCCTGTGTAAGGATACACACACACACATACAGGCAGGGACCCAGTCACACACACAGGGACACTCACACACACACTCACACACAGAGACAGCTGATGATGGGCATACAAAAGTTGACCTCGACTTTGAGCTGTCAAAGCCAGCTAACTAAACTGACCTAAACCAACAAAAATCGACTTTTGCAGCCTAAACACAAAGCCTGAGGATGACAGGCCGGAAAAAAGGGGGCGTGGCATTCGGCAGGAGGGCGTGGGGGGTGGTTAAAATACAAAATATCAGCATGACGCAATGATTTCCGGCTGGGAGTGAAAATGAAACCTGTTGGAGTGGCGAGCTGTTGGCAATATAAACAAATTCAATTTGACAGCTGACAGCGACGGCGGTTCACAAACACATAGACAGACGGAGAGAGCGACACACACAAATACACACCAGGAAAAAGAGAAAGCCACACACACACACACAAAGAGCAACAAACAAAAGCCGCAAGTAATAAACTTTTACGATCTGTTTTACGGCCACGCGGCACGTGCAACTAGGCCCAGGATATTTGGCGTTACGGGGGGCGGTGGGCGGTGGGTTGTTGCAACATAAATTTAATGAAGCTAAAAGCGAGGCGCAACAACAATGCAGACAACCCACACACAAGCTCAGCAGCACACGCACACACAGAAAGAAAGAAAGAGAGGGCAAAACGGTTCACATGTTCGAGCGGAGTTTCCATGGAGGCTGGGCAATAAAAATAAAATAAAAGTAAATTGTTCAAGGCCAGCCATATTTTATGTTATTATTTTACAAATAGCGAAGCACAGAGAAAGGCAGGAGAAAGGGGGGAGAAAGGGAGGAGTTGGCAATAGGAATGTACAGGAATGAAAATAGGATAAAGAAAGGGGATTGAAGTGGATAAAGGAAATTCCCAAAGTAGAAGTGCCCACAAAGAACCAGTATTTTAGTTTTTGGTTAAATACAAAAGAACATTAAAAATAATAACAGTATTAACTAGATTTTTAAGGCATGATTACAATATCATATGCTTTTATGTGCAGTAAACCCTTCTCTATAAAGTTGAAACTAACTAATATATTTCGACATTTAAGTAACTTTAGTAAAGTAATATTTTAGACAAAATCTCCTTGAAAATGCTGTTTGTTTAATTATTAAAAAATATTATAATAATGACAATTTACTAAATAAAATGTATATACTTTGTTTTCTAATCTGTACTTAAATGTACTTTAAATTATTATTAAATGTATAACTTAACCTTTAAAAATCTAAACTACTTTTATAAAGTATTCTATGCCATGAGACTGGTTTCCTCTCCGGGGGCAAAAATCTTTAAAGTCAATCGATTCTGATCGTATTTTTCCCCTCAGTGCAGAGATTTTGATTTTGTTTTGCAGCGAAAATTGAACAAATTTCGCCGCATGACTTCGCCAAAAAAAAAACGAGAATAGAAAAGGGGGTGCCAGCCAGATCCCGGACCATCCCCGCCCCTTTTCAATGTTGTTGTGTCTGCGACACAAAAACGTCAGAAGCACTCACCGAGAGCATTCGCCGCTGTCCTTGCCGCAAATGCCATTGATGGATGATGCGCCTGCCCACTCAGCCACCCATCCAGGATTCTGGATTCAGGATTTCACCCCCGTGTTGGAGGGCAAAAATAAAAACACTAAAACCTGCAATTTGTATGGAATACATCAGCGGCAGCCAACGAAAGTGGACGCAGACGTTGGCCAGAAAGAGGCGGCATTATGTGTGAGTTTGGGGGCCCTGAGTCGAGAGTTCTGAGTCCTGAGTTCCGGGTTCCAGAGTTCCCCGAGCTCTGAGTTCTGAGTTATAGAAGGCCATAACCTGCACTCGCTCTACGCCTCCCTTTCTCGCCACTGTATTGCCCTCTCTTTTTGGCGCGCTTTATGATTGCCAGACATAAATAAGCGGCAAAAGCACCCCGATGTGTGGGTGTCCCGTGTCCAAAGTGCACTTTCCGTGTCCGTGTCCCTTTCTTTTTTTTTTTTTGGGCTTCGAGTCCTGAGTTCGGGCTCACCTGCCCGGGAAAAGGGAGTCCCTTTCGGAGGAGTCCTGCACTCCTTTTTGCGCCCCCGCTCCTGTCAACGCCGCCGACAGCTGGATAAATGTGTATCTATGCGAGGTCCTGTCCCCCGTCCCCAGTCCTTCGTCCTTTGCTCCTTTTCAGCTCCTGGATGTACTCAGCTCATCTCTGTTCTTTTCTCCTGTCTGCGCATCTTCTCTCCTCGGCAAACTGGTGTGCGTGTGCTGAGCCAAAGTAGCAATTCATCATAGAAAATGGCGGAAGTAAGCTTCCCTTTTATGAGGGGTGCACATGGGTGTATCCGTATCTGTGTGCCTGGGCCCCAATTAAAACCAGAGGGTGCCATATGATAATGGGGTTCAAAGGGAAACTAGAACAGGTAAAATGATGCCTTACAAAAAAAGATTACATTTAAAATAAATCGATACACTTTTAGTATAATATCTGTTTTGTAATTCTTATTAAAAAACTGCATAGAAAAAAATAGCTCCATAAACGAAAATGAAACTAAGTTAATAAATATATCTTTCCTAAAAATATTGAATGTTGGAATACCAAAGAGCACTTCAAAACTAAAAAAGGTAAGTCATAAATTGCAACAAAATAGTATATTGTCTGTGTATTGATTCTTATTAATTAATTATTAATTAATTTTTATTTCTTCCTAGCTTACATAAAAATATTACCATTATGGAAAACAAGACTTATTTTTAGTCCTACAAATAAAATCCTATCAATTACCCCTTGGGAAATCAACATAGACTGATTTATTAGCACTCTTTTCCTTTCGTTATCTGCTGGAACCACTGATTCCTTTAGCGAAACTAAGTTAATTAAGATCTCTTGCCTCCAATTTAATTGCCGACCATCACCACACATATCTGCCAATTAATATAAACGCGAATCCGGCATCTCAGCACTCTGCAGCCGAATAGAACTGGAGCAATCAAATGTCACTTTGCACACACTCAAGTGTTATGGCCCCATCTCAAAGATGCCACATGCCCCGGCCATTTGCAGCTACATGAAAAACGCATCTCCTATCCACTTAACGGCCCAACAACAACATAAACCAGGTTTTACAGCCCCGGGAGAACTTAAGGACCCGAGAATATCCTGCGAGCCAAGGGCCAAACTCATCAAGTTTGTCTTGAGAGGCGGGCATTTAGTTAATTTTAAATGCTGATTAGCGCACTTTACGGCGGGAAAAGGATGACAAGGCAGCTGGGGAATGGGGGTATATCCCAAAGTAAAGTGCTCAGCCAAAGGATCCCAGCATATGTGGGTGTAACTTATAATTTTATTATCATTACCAGCGGCGAGTGTCTTATCAGCAGGGTTTTACGAGGCCACAGATCGCATAGGGGTCATGTTCCGCTCTCGTGTTATCCCTGCCAAATGAAAATAAACTCTGGGCTTAAAATGTTTACGATGCGTTGACGACATCATTGTCATTATCATCATTGTCAGGGCGAAGGGTCTGTGTTTATGGCCCTTTTATGCGCTTTTTATGCGCCATTCCTAACCTCGATTTAATTGTTTAGCCGGTGACAATCATTACCCCCCTCGAAAACATATGTATATAAACGGGCAGCCAGACAGTGGCTGAGTTTTACGACTCCAAGGAGCTGTCAATTTGATGTCCTCAGAGCCATTGACAATCCACCCAGCCAACCCATCGCCTACTAAAAACATGAAGATTACACTTTATGGCCAGGGCGAAAACTCAACGGAAGTTGTAAAACACTCAAGTGTAATGATGCCAGAGCTTTGCATCCGCCCAGCCGACACTGTTTGGGTGTGAAAACTAACGCCAGGATTTTCCTTTTCCCTCAAGAAGGACTCTCTCCCATGGATTTTACGACTCTCTCTCTCTCTGAGGATTTTACGATGATAACATCTTCGATGGATCTCAGTCGCTTATTATTTTTCTATTACATTACAATTTACACCGTTTGATGAGTGATTTTACGATCGTTAAATGAAATCAGATTTGTCATTTGGCCTGTTAAATAAAGCGCAAAATTTACACGCCGTCATCCTGTGTCGTAAAAATTTGGCCAGAAACCAGAAAACCAAGAGCATTGAGCTATTTGTGCTGTTTCTTTTTATGGGCCACAGAAATGTTTTGCCCTGATCCCCTTTGTGGCTGCCGTGGAAGGTGTAAAAATGCTCCGCCATTACTATCATTGTTTTTACTGCCCATCTTACGACTGCAGGTCCTGTCTGGAGGTCCTTCGTCCTGAGAGCTCCCTGTTTTGGCTGCTTATTCAAGCGCGAAAATGGATTTGTTTTTTACGA